CACACACACACACACACACACACACACACACACACACACACACACACACACACACACACACACACACACCGATGTTTGTTCTTCTATGCTTATGGGGACTTTTCAATGACTTCCATTACTTTACTGATGATTTCCACAGTCCCTAACCTCACATGTACATACCTGACCCTAAACCTATAACCTAAACTCAATTCACACCTTTGTCTTATCCCTAACCCACCAGTGGTATTTCCCCCAATGGGGACCGGGTTTATGTTCCCAGTGGGTCCTCACAGTGGTTCCTCACCAGGCTGTGTGTACTGGGAAAATGGTCAAAAATCATCCCAACCAGGTAATAAAAACATGTACGCATGCACACACACACACACACAAACCACTTCCTACCCCCATAATTTTCCTGTAAAATGTACTTTTGGTTCTAATAAGACAAACACATTTGATCCAGGAAGTTCATCCTTTCTTTGTGACTAAATGAGTTGATTGTTCTTTCTAAGTAGAACAAGGTTGTGGTTGTTGTGGTTTTTAGTAAATAGCGTTTGACTAGATCACTAAGATTCAGTTTCCTTTCCTCTCCCATCTTCTTTACCAGCTTCGTTCTGTTCAGGGTTGTGGGCAAACAGGTTGCCAAACCACCACAGAGACTCAAACTACACACACACACAAACCTGCTCTTCAGTGGTGGACAAAGTACTCAACTTTAGTACTTGAATAAAAGTATTGATACTCAGGGTCAAATCTACTTAACTACAAGTAAAAGTTACGCCATCAAAAATCTACTCAAGTTAAAGTACTGAAGTACTTACTTTTGAAAATACTTAAGTATTCAAAAGTACATACATTTAAAAAATACTCAAGTATTCAGAAGTACAAATGACATTTTCTACTATCAACACATTGCTTTATTGTTTTCAGAGTGAGTTTACAGAACCTTGTAGCTCTCAGAAACCACCTGATGTATTGACACGTACAACCCCTGTCAAAAATGATGGAATCACTGGACTCAGACGATGATCATTCAGTTGTTTCACTTTGTAGAAAAAAAAAAACAGATCACAGACATGACACAAAACTAAAGTCATTTCAAATGGCAACTTTCTGGCTTTAAGAAACACTAAAAGAAATCAAGAAAAATACACTTTTCTTATCCTATCAATTGAAAGGATGTTCGGGGTTGATGAAATCATTTTTCAAGATGATAATGCATCCTGCCACACAGCAACAACTGTGAAAACGTTCCTTGAAAAAAGACACAGAAGGTCGATGTCACTGCCTGCAAATAGTCCGGATCTCATTCCAAATGGGAATCTTTGGTGGAAGTTGAAGAAAATGGTCCATGACGAGGCTCCAACCTGCAAAGCTGATCTGACAGCAGCAATCAGAGACAGTTGGAGCCAGATTGATGGAGTACTGTTTGTCACTCATTAAGTCCATGCCTCAGAGACTGCAGCTGTTAGAAAAGCAAGAGGTGGTTCAACAAAATACAAGTGGTGTTATAGTGTTTTTGTTTCTTTGTTTTTCATGATTCCACCATTTGTTCCCCAGAATTGAGTGATTCCATTTTTTTTTTCCTTCTGCTTGGCCCGAAAAGGTAACCGTTACTGACTGCCACAACTTTTTCTTGGTTTCTTTTAGTGTTTCCTAAAGCCAAAAAGTTGCCATTTGAAATGACTATAGTTTTGTGTCATGTCTGTGATCTGCCCTTTTTTCTACAAAATTAAACAACTGAATAAGCATCCTCTGAGGCCGGTGAGTCCATCAGTTTTGCCAGGGCTTGTAGAACCACTGCTACAAATTCTACACCACCTGTAAAGACTTCAGCATAAAAATGCAATAAGGTGAGTGGTGAGTTCTTAAATGCACAAATGTAGTTTATACGTAGTGAACTCATACGATGTTTAAACTGATAGGAACTATTCTTCAGCCCTAAAATCTCAAGCTGAGATATGATCATGGGTGTGCTGGTTTCTCTATTCTCTTCAATCGTCTCCATTGCTGGGTTCTGTCATTGTGCCCTTGGGCAAGACACTAAGACACTTCACCCGCCTTGCCTACTGATGGTGGCGCCGGTGTATGGCAGCCTCACTTCTGTTAGTGTGTCCTAGCTGTAGCCACATTGTAGCGTTCCACCATCAGTTTGTGAATGGGTGAAAGTCTGTAAGTGTAAAGCGCTTTGGGGTCCGTAGGGACTTGATAAAGCGCTCTATAAGTTCAGTCCATATACCATTTCTTTGAAASGTAGGTGTGAGCTCAGCTCATGACCGTTAATGAAAATGATGTAATCCCAAATCTATCCTAGATGTGAGCTACAACTGTGATTGGTTCCCCATGAGGAACATGGTATGGTCAATACATTTCAAGAAAGAAAAACAGCAACAGCTGATTACAAAGCTATGCTGAACCAAAAGTAACAAGTAGCTAAAAGATTTCTAGAAATGTAGTGGAGTAAAAAGTACAATATTTGCCATTGAAATGTAGTGGAGTGAAAGTAATAAGTACCCCAAAAATAATTACTCAAGTAAAGTAAAGATACTCAAAAAATGTACTTAATTACAGTACTCGAGTAAATGTACTCCACTACTGTCCACCACTGCTGCTCTTAAGTTCAATTTAAAAGCACCTAATTGTCCTGACACATACGGATTTAGACTGCTGGAGAAAACTCCCACAAGTGTCAGTTGTGATGAACACTGAGTATTTTCATGCTCTGGGTGAGGGTGTAAAACACGACACCCCTGCAGCCGAGTACAGCTGCATTCAAACCCAGTCGAGCTCAGATGAAGAATCAAGGTTGTTGTTATTATCATTTGAATCTGGTACCACGTCGTAATGTTCTCAAATTTCACAAATGTAAATTATTCCAATTTTTCAATAAAGTTTTTTTTAAATTGTCTCCCAATTGCATAAAACTTACATTCCAAGGTCAGAAAACACTTATGTTCAATGCACAACTTGTTAGAGTGTAACCCTGTACATTAATGTTTAATACTGGATCATGGATAGATAAAAATGGATAGATTCATAATTTGTAAAAAAAAAAAAAAAAAACTCCCTGCTTTGCGTTTAAGAACAAGAAAAAAACTAAAAATTTTATTCCTAAGCCAAATGTTAACATTATATTGCTCAGTAAATAAATTTGCAGTGTTGGCATTCCAATGATTCAGTCAGATTTCATTCTGACTTGCACTATTAGAAAATATTGGCACGGTGGCTCAGAGCTATTATTTCTCAGTAACAGGGTTGTTGGTTTGAATTCCGGCCGGGGACCTTTCTGGGTACAGTTTGCCTTTGCTCTCCGTGCAAGCATGGGTATTCTCTGGGATCTTCGATTTCCTCCCATAGTCCCTGGGTGTGAGTGAGAGAGTGAATGGTTGTTTGTCTCGTTTGTCTCCATGTGTGGCCCTGTGATGGACTTGCGACATGTGTCCAGGGTGTATCCTGCCCCCTCACACAGCAACTGCTGGACACCAGCGACCCTCGCGACAGATTGAAGATAATAGATGGGTGAAAAGCCTTTGAAGAAAAATAAAAGCTTTGACCTTTAAATTTAACTTTTCACTTCATAGTTTAGTGACTGTAGCTGACTTTGTGTAATGCAAGTGGGAGTTTTTATCACAAGCACAGGATGCAGTATGTAGGAGTAAGCTCAGACAGCAGCAGCAGACAGCAGATGACAAATTAGCAGAACAAAGATGTGGGTTTGTGTGTAAATGTACGCATCTCCTCATGGTGTGGTAGCAGTTTAAAATAAATTCATTTGTAGAAAAGGGTAAACCCTTTATCTTATTATTGACTAAAATAAATCATTGAGAATTTTAACAGTAAAATAAATTTATTCTAAATAAATATTATATCAATTTGTTTGATGATCCATAGAAGGTAGCTATTTTGTGACTTTCTTTGTCAGCTTATTCCTTCACACTTTTTTAWTTTTTAGCCTTGTCACAATTTCTGTTAGCCTTCTGCCTTTGCAATAGCTTTCTTTTAAAATATTTTTTCCTTTCATTCTGTATAGATTTACCTTTATTCAAAAGTCATTCAAAAGCCAACTGCTGTACATTTCTTCATGTTTGCAAAGAAGAAAAGCTTCGTTTTAAAAATGTATGAAGTTTAGCATTGTCTCAAATCCATCCATCCATCCATCCATCCATCCATCCATCCATCCATCCATCGATCAAAGCTCAGGATGGCAAAGCACATTGATCTTGACTTGATTTGTCAAACCAACTTCAAACTTGACTGACTTTAACTCTCAAAAATGTCCCCTGCTACAAACTAATTAGCACTCAAAGCACTCCATTTATCCTCTCATACATCTTTTATGACAATTTTTTGCCACAAGCTCATTCATTTCTTACCCTGACAATRATAAAAGGTTGATCAATCCCCATTAACCAAAGTAAGCTGATAAAAGGAGCCTACCTTCTTCGTGTTCACAGCTCTCTTCTGTTTTTGTACTTTCTTTTCAGTTCGATCTGAAGAGACTGATCAGCTCTCCTCACATTTGTCATTCAGGCTTCCCATGAAGTGTTGCTCTCTTAGAACTTGTCACTGTCACTTCGTTGTAAAACGAAGTAAGGGAAATGTACAGCACCCAAAAAAGAGAAAAAAAAAACTGTGGCTGACGTGGTTTCCTTTATGGTAGTAACGAAGTGTTATTCTATTCTAGTTTTAAGAAATGTGAAACTGATGGGTAAAAACCCCTTGTGATTTTCCATTTCCTTTTTTCTGCTTTTTTAAATTTGCTATAAACAGTCCCTGAAAAATGCAACGAAATCAACTGTGTTGGCATTTTAGCACGTGAAGGTTTAGCAATACATTTTGTGTGTGCTTTTCCAAAGCAGAACTCCTTTGGCCTTGAAAGACTTTTACTCATGCTATGACATCATGTGTATTTTCTGTCATTGCTTTTTAGATTTGGAGAGAGATAGAGAGTGYTGATCTCCAGCATTCATTAACAAAGAGATTTGACAGATTGTTAGTCCACCACAGAGACACATAAAGACAAACAACCATACACATAAACACTTGTGCTGTTTCGAAGTTGTCAATTAACCCAACATGCATGTTTTTAAATCCATACGGAAAGGGTCACTCTTGAGAACAACATAAAACTGGACCCAAGGAAGCTGAAAAATTTAACTTTAACTCATGTTATAAAACAAAACCTTAAGCTGACATGGCAGCAGAACTTATAGAAATTAATCAGAGATGATGATGGAGGAGCACCAGAAATATTGCAATAACAATTGTGCAGGGGTTTTGGGTATATTCTAAAATGGATAATTTGTGAATTATTTAAATGAGCAAATCATCTGACCTCGAGGCACCACGCTCTTAATTTGGTCAAGGATTAACCCAGGAAAGAGACGAAAACCTGTAACTTTATTGTAATCAGTCTCACAATAAATGTACCCAAAATTGTTTGATGAGTCCTTTGTCTTATCAGAACCAATAATATTTTATCAAGACACAAAAGTGACATTAGCTTATGTTGGCACGTTCTCCACGGGCCATTTATTTAAAGATCAAATGTATTTACATTTATGGAGAGTAATGAGTGATGACGGTGAACCAGGTAAAATTGACAGAGTTTGCAATCACAAGTGAATAAACAAACAAACAAATAAAATAAACACAGAGGTGAGTTTGAGATTTGGAGTGAGGTGAGGTGAGTTTTGCTTTTAGCTGAGGATTTAACTAGGTGGGGTCCTAGTTAAATTAGGGAGAAAAATTGTTTAGTTTATCAAATCTCATACAAAGATAATAATCAGATTACGTC